TGAATGTGATTTTCAATTTTCAAATTTAAGGCCTAATTATATTATGGGTTTAGTGATTGGATACAAAATTTGATCTAAATCTCCCGCGAGAATACAGTTATAGTAAATATTATAACTATGTTCTCCCGCGAGAATACCTGAAAAACACAATTATAATATTTAGTGCACTAAGTTCTCGCGGGAGAACTTAGTGCACTGAACGATCCAGTGACTGAATTTTCATTTTTTCCTTATATTATAACCATATATATATACATATTTATATCATCATGACCCTAGCAACATGCATATGTATATGTATATATATGGTTTGTGACATTGGGTTTGTGATGATCTCTATGATGGGTCAGCCTCCACCTACTTTAGAAATGGTGTTACACACGGCAGAGTCAAGGTGGTCACATGGTTTGTCTTTTCCTTCTTTGGTGTTAATGATATGGTTGACAGGCTTAGTTTGTGCATAGAGCTTTTGAGAAACCCCATAAGGAAGAGAAGCGTCCAAGCCCCACGGGTCTTCGATGTTGATGGAGGAAAGTGATTGATTATATGTTGTTGTTTTCTTTGGAGGTGTTTAAATATGCTTTTCCAAAAGTAACTCTGATAGCAACATTTGGGAACGTATCAAAAGTACTGTTCTCTATTTCTTTTGTTTTGACTAGGACATTATTGTTTTATTTAAAACCCATCCAAACTCATATATTATATATTATATATTATAAAATACAAATTATATTTTATATTATATATATATGGATGAAAATTTGAGATGGTAGTTAGAAAGTGGAGTGGACAAGCACTACCAGTTCTTCGTGAGAGAAGCTGAGAGCAGATGATGGCCATGTGGGCTACCTGTTATGATTGTGACTCATGTAAATGATAGTCCATTCATTTAAGATACAAAAAAAAAAAAAAAAAATATCATATCATTCTATTTGATAAATAATATATTAGTTGAGTTTGAATAATTTATGGGATTTATGAATATTATGTTACATGATTAAGCTTACATCATGCTAAACTCACAATGCAAGTGGGCCTCACAAGTTTTTATTAAAAAACAAAAAATAAGAAAATGGTGGAGCCCACTTGTATTGTGAGTGTAACATGATGTATACTTCATCATGTAACATAATATTCATAAATCCCATAATTTATTAATAGATTGATTAATCTTTTCTTTTTCGTTTTTTCAAAAGGACAATACTTTTTTTCTTGTACCAAAATATTTCATTGATGAATTTTCTAATCTATCTAACTTTTTTTTTCTCATATATACATAATAATAATAATAATAATAATAATAATTATTATTATTATTATTATTTGGGCTTTATACTTTTTCTGCCACTAGAAGAATTTTTTTTGCAGCTAACTTAAAAAAACTGAGCTCCACCATTTTTAGAAAAAGAAAACAAAAGAAAAAAAATGGCCTATTTTTTAACGTGAGAGTAGCAGCAGAAGATGCTTCTTGCAGTGACAGAAGAAGCTTTTTAGCCTTTATTATTTCTACCATATCATTCTATTTCTCATATGTTGTCTGGAGTAGGGGTGACAATACAGGTTTTGACCCGCGGGTTGACCTGTGACACGACTCGTCAAAACGCGTGTCGTGTCAACCCACGGGTGATTACGGGTTGTGTACGAGTTGTGTAAATGTGACCCGTTTTTTTCGTGTCGGGTCCCATGTCAACCCGCACAGTGTCATTTTTTTAATTTTCAATTAAATATTTTATTATATTATTATTTTTATTCATTTATATATTGATATATATAGTCATTGTTTAGTATAGAAAAAAAAGAAGGTACTAAAAATCTCAAAAAACAGAAGCCAATCTATTTTTATTTTTTTATTGTTTTTAATTTATTTATTTTTCAAAAAAATTCACTTTTTTTTTAATTTTAAATTTTGCGAGTCGTGTCATGTCGACCCGTGACCCACAGCGGGTCGTGTCAGGGTTCGTGTTTTGTGACCCATTTACAAAACGGGTCATGTAAAATAGTGTACGGGTCGAAAACGTGTCGTGTCGTGTCGAGTTGACCCGTATTGCCACCCCTAGTCTGGAGTATATATTGCACGCCTGTGTTTCTACAAACTTTCACCAAATACAATATTTTTAAGAGAAATTACTTAATTAGTCTTGATAAATGAAGAATTTATGCTTCATTAATAATTTGTTAAAGAAAGTGATTATTTGAATATAAAGTGTAATTACTTAGCTGTAAAATGTTATGAATTACCAAATTAATTGTATGTAAAATAACTATTTCAACAGAAAAAGAATGTGTTAACTTGTGGTATATTATTTAAAAAAAAAAAAAAATGCCAATGTTTTCTCGCAAAATACGCTTATGAACTAAACACAACACAAATGTCACCTTTTATTTAAAATTTGATGTTTAACCAAATGAAAGATCAAAATCTTTTGGGGACCCAATGGGTGCAGCTTAGTTGGTAACTTGGCGCTGAGTTAGTGGGGTTGGATATGTGTTCGATTCCCGCTGAATGCATTCTTGGGGAGGGGGCTGAACCTTTAGCCATCACTGTTCCCCCGCACTCCGGATTAGTCCCATAGCCGGCTCAAAGAGTCGAAGCTCGTGAGGATACCGGAGGGAGCCAACTCGTCTCAAAGAGATAATTAAGGTTGGGTAACTCCAAAAAAAAAAAAAATCTTCTGGGAGAAGAAAACAATTTCTTTCCCTCTTTCTTTTTCGTTACGGAATTGGAGATCGAACTCTTCGATCTAAATATTTGTTATTTTTTTATATAACCCTTAAAACTTTCATTAAATGAATCCCTAAGAAAGACTTTTTTCCCCTCTAAATGTGCAAGATTGTATGATATTTATAAGGGAGAGTTATACTTACAAATTTTTTGTTTACAAACTACACTATGTATTCTCGAAAGTACATTAAGTTATACTATATACTTCAAGGAGTAAATATTGTAATTTGCAAAAATTTATAATTTTTTTTTTGTAAATATATCCTCATTTTATACATACATATATATATATATATTGAGAGAGAGACACAAAGACTTTTTTTTTCCTTTAAATGTGTAAGCTTGTATAACATATATATCAATCATCGTTATCACTATCACTAGTCTTTTTCCTCAAGTTAAACTTCTGGCATAATTAACCATTCCGTCACAATCTGCTGCTATTATTTGATGCATCACGGCCAGCAATTTCAGAATTTCAAAGTCTGATTAGATTAATTAATAATCCAAGAAAACGAAAGGAAGAGATAGAGAGAGAGAGCGAGAGTCCGGCTTGAGAAATTCTTTTTATATTTATTTATAGAAAAAATGTTTATCTTTTTAAATAACACAACTTGTATCATTTCACTCTCATAAATAGGTGGGACTCACGCTTTTATATTTTTCTGTCCATTCTCTTCTCTTTTATCTATCTCTTTCTCACACTTAAAATGACACAACTTTACATCATTTTAAATGATACAGTTTTCCTTTATTTATATATATATTTGTTTTATGAGTATTTTCTTGTAGAAATGCACGTACCCAATAGCCGCACAAATTCATTGAATCTATCCTCTGCTAAACAAAAACGTGAACATCACATATTTTTTATATTCTTCAAATGGTGATCCTAGGACAAAATCAATAACTTAATTAGTCACATAATCTACATGAAATTTAGCTCTATCTAGCTCAATCGGGTCAGGTAATGACGAACTCCCAATAGCTCAATCACATGATCAAAGGTAAGAAAATCAGCTTGACCCAAAATAAGATAGAAAATTCTTGTTGCAGAATTAATAAAATGTTTCCTTAACGATTAAGAGTCAAAGCATTAGAATATATTGAACAGAAAAGACAAGGCCACACAAGAATCATGCAATTAAAATTTTAAAGTATGACATGTTGCATACGTAAGTGTAAGGAGACATTTTAACACAATTAAATGACTTATTCCACCATTTCTATCAATTACACCAATCTAAACATCAAATCTATTTTATTGAATAGCTAATAATTCTTATGGACCAATGTGAAAAGTATTAAGTATGACATGACCTTAGGTTACAAATTATGTAGTTTGGATTGATGCGTGATTGAGTTTACAAAGAATGAAGGAAAGAGAGGTGGTGGAGAGGTTGAAAACGAAAGATTTTGACCTGTTATAGCAAATGACAAAACAATATTAATAATAATTGTAGACACGGAACTGCTTTTGATGCCTTTATCATTTACTATATGCATATATTGATGCAAGTCATTTTCAACAATTTGGCTTTTGTTTTAGGGATGTTCCTAAAAGTCATTTCTTGCCTCCCTAGAGGACTTTGGACCTCATTGGTGGGCCAGCATAAAGATTTCACTTGCCTTTATACAAGCGCACTGGGCCACATGGTTTTCCCTTCTAATGCTTTTTCTTTTTTTTACTTTTTCTCTTCAATTTCTTAGACTTTATTGCATGGAAATATAAGAATCATGTTTACACTATTCATTCCTGCAACAAGGATCCGCTACCGTATCTTAAGGATACGGCGTCGTATCCTGGTTTGGTTTGACTTTTTTTTTTTAAGCGTGGGACCCACACTTAGTTTGTGTGTGCAGGAAAGTGCTCTAGTCATGTCACATGACAAAAAGCGAACCCATATAATAAGGGATTAATGTTTTTCGTGTTATAAGAAATAATTTTATCTTCTACATACACATAAAAATGTGTGAAGCCCATGTTTTCTCTTTATCTGTCTTATCTTCACATGATTTCACATAGAGCCCACACACTTTTATGTATGAATAGGAGATAAAAGTATCTCCTACACAACATGAGAAACATTGATCTCATGTAATAATACATATTGCATTATCATGATAACATGGTTTTGTCACTTTTTGGAATGTGTCCCATACGCTATGGTGTTTTTCATTTGACAACTTCTTATATTGGTGGGACCCAAAAGTGAGTAAAGCTAGGACTAGGAGGTTGACAAGAAACATAACCATGATGATAATGCCCACTTTGCCAGGGTACTTGATGGTGCTGAATTGCTGATAAGATAAACGCATGTGTTCCACTACTACTTTATGATTACAGAACCATTGAGAAACTTTGCTTTGGTTGAACAACTTTCAAGGGGAAGCTTAACACTAAAGGTCAGTGTCATGATCTGTTTATATTCTTAAAAAGTTATTCCCTGTCTTGTAGACTTGTTGTTTCCTCATGGTTGAGTGGGTTTAACTATTTAGTTTGTGATGGTGAACCTGTGTGTTCATAAACCAGAATCTATACAATAAGGCAAAGCATAAAGTGTTTTCACTTTGTTGTATATACTACTATGGATAAGGGATAAAGGAGGATTCATCAACTGGTATTCTAGGCTTTTATGTAAGTGATGGAGTTTCATTTGACAGGTTTGGCTTTGTTGCTGTTGGCTGTTGTGGTACAATTAGTTGAGAGAATGAGTTAGGTTCTCTGAAAATTAAATTCACTCAATAGACAACTTCTGAGGTTGATCAATATTTCAAGTCTGCTTGGTTGTGTTGTGCTGTGCCTCTTCATAATGTTATTGAGGTTAGGTTTGTTTTTATAACTATTTTTCTTTTTTATTTGGCAAATCAATCTAGCTAAGATTTAATTAGGATGACATTCTGTAGTACATATCCCTTCAAAAGCAGCAGTACTAATTAATACATTTCCCCAAAATCATACTTCAATTTGTATAAAAGTCAACAAAGTTTTATTCAATGTACATATTACCTTATTCTCCATACACTAGCAATCCATTCCAGAGTTTGCTAGACTTTCCTTGACATGCTGATGTATTTCAAGGAAAACTGCAATGAGCTTAGAGTCAGTAGCCTCCAGTATCCTGTGCAGGCCTATTGCTCTGGCTATTTTGCATGTTAGGTTTTGGATTTGGCGATTTTGCTTTGGCTATTTATGAACCAACCTTCACTATTTGAATTTCATGTTTCAGTGTAGTCTTTGTTTCTTGAGCATAGCAATGAGCCATCGGTACTAAATATGAATTGGCCTATGGCTGGTATGTCCCATTAATGTCCTCTCCATTTAATAGGCATGCATGCAGTTCAATATTTCACTTCATGGTTACAGCCCTTTATATGTTAAAGTCTTTAATTTGAAAAGTTTCCATCAAACTCATAATGATGAATTGAGATTTTCTCTAATCTCTGTCCAGTATGCTAATTATAAGATATTCTCCAAATGGTTTTGGACTTTGGATGCTATGTTTTCTCCCATTGCTTATGGTAATTCAGGTCAGGCCATTCCATGATGGTAAATGCTTTTTCATGAGTAATTAGAATGGATAATATGACTGACAGGTAAATAATAAATATGATATTTTCATGCTGGTGAAACAGTTTTTCTTTTTCAGCATTATGTTATGCTATGCAAGTTCACGAACCAGGCTATTCTTTCTTTCTGAAGCACATGGCAGTTTTCCAACTTATGTAGTAACACGGTTACATCTTATTTAATTGTTATATAACCATCTACATGTGATTCCACTGGTTTTCAACGGGGAAGCACAATGCAACATAGTGTTAATTCTCAGGTATCATAATATAATTGAAAAACAATGGAAGGTTATACTATAAGTATAGTGTATTTTTTTATTTATTTTTTGGTGGTTTGAGTGTAGTGTATTTTTTATTAAGGAAGAATTGCTGCTATTATATAGAGGGACAATAATCAACATGAAATTTTTATGTTTGGCATATAAAGACACCTGCCCATAATTTTTATGCAAGTAATGCAGTTTCATTTGACAGGTTTGGCTTTGTTGCTGTTGGCTGTTGTAGTACAATTAGTTGAGAGAATGAATTAGGTTCTCTGAAAATTAAATTCACTCAATAGACAACTTCTGAGGTAGATCAATATTTCAAGTCTGCTTGGTTGAGTTGTGCTGTGCCTCTTCATAATGTTATTGAGGTTAGGTTTGTTTTTATAACTATTTTTCTTTTTTATTTGGCAAATCAATCTAGCTAAGATTTAATTAGGATGACATTCTGTAGTATATACCCCTTCAAAAGCAGCAGTACTAATTAATACATTTCCCCAAAATCATACTTCAATTTGTATAAAAGTCAACAAAGTTTTATTCAATGTATATATTACCTTATTCTCCATACACTAGCAATCCATTTCAAGGAAAACTGCAATGAGCTTAGAGTCAGTAGCCTCCAGTATCCTGTGCAGGCCTATTGCTCTGGCTATTTTGCATGTTAGGTTTTGGATTTGGCGATTTTGCTTCGGCTATTTATAAACCAACCTTCACTGTTTGACTCTCATGTTTAAGCGTAGTCTTTGTTTCTTGAGCTTAGCAATGACCATAATTGCCTCTCCTCTCCTCTATTCTACTATTCCTTAGCAACTTCGTTGAACTACATCTTTCTGAAGTCACTGAGCCATCGGTACTAAATATGAATTGGCCTTTGGCTGGTATTTCCCATTCATATACTCTCCATTTAATAGGCATGCATGAATTCCAATATTTCACCTCATTTTTACAGCCCGGCATATGTTAAAGTCTTCAAGTTTTAAAAGATTCCATCAAACTCATAATGATGAATTGAGATTTTTTTATTTATTTTACTATCAAGGATGCTAGAAAGGTGGCTAGAGAGGAGTAGTGGTAAAGTATGTGATTAAAGGTTACGTGTTCAAATCCAGGAAAACAGTTTCATTGCAAATATATAAGGGTAAGACTGAGTATAAGGATTGCCCTCACCTTACTCCCGCTAGTCGGGATTTAATGAGGAGTGATTTTTTTCTATCAAGTATGCTAATTATAAAATATCTCCAAATGGTTTGGACTTTGGATGCTATGTTATCTCCCAGTAAGCACACCACTGAGTTAGCCCTTAGTTTCACGTCAGGACATTCCAATGATTTGTAAATGCTTTTTCAGGAGTAATCAGAATGGATAATATGACTGACAAGTATATAATAAATATGATATTTTCATGCTGGTGAAACAGTTTAACTTTTTCAGCATTAAGTTATGCTATGCAAGTTCCCGAATTTTTAGTATTTGGCCAGGCTATTCTTTCTGCTTTGTGAAGCTCATGGCAGTTTTCCAACTTATGTAGTAACACGGTTACATGTTAATTGCTAGTTATATAACCATCTACATGTAATTCCACTGGGTTTCAACGGGGAAGCACAACGCAAGATGGTGTTAATTCTCAGGTATCATAGTATAATTGTTTAACAATCGAAAGTTGTATCATAGGTATAGTGTATTTTTATTAAGGAAGAATTGCTGCTATTATATTGAGGGACAATAATCAACATGCAATTTTTATATTTGCCATATAAAGGAACCTGCTCATAATCATGCAAAAGGTCTGCAAGGATCTCCTTCATTGTTGAGCTGAAATAACAAAACTTACAATGTTTCACAAGTATCACGAGGGGATGCATCAGATTCAGTTATTGTACTGATCCTCATAAAAAGGTGTATAGTACTGATACTGAGTGTGATTAACAAAGGGAAAGACCATCCTTGATCAAAATTTATGCTATCATCTTAATAACGGGTACTGTAAATGCCATATTAAACCTAGCTAGTGCTTGATTTGAGTGCATGGGTTAGCCTGCTAAAAAAACTCTTTTGGTTTCTGTCAAGTCTCAAGGGCATTTGGACTTCAGCAAGATGGGAAGACCATTGATAGATAAAAAAAAAAAAAAAAAGAGGGCAAGCTTGGAATAATGATAAAGCTGCTCATTTATGACTGAAATGTCAGAGGTTCGAATTCGAGAAACAGCCTCTTTATACATATGCAAGAATAAAGCTGCGTATAAAGATTGCCCTCATCCCACCCTCGTTAGTTGGGGTTTAATGGGAAGACCATTGATAATGGAACAAATAAGTTTCATCAACTATTTTGGTTATGTTATGGTTATTTATGGGTCAAATGCTCAATTATTTTTCATGTGGGTTTGTATTTAAAAGTAAAATTAACAATTCATGTATATTCAGAATTACAGATTCTGGCATGGGTGGTAATAATGCAATTTCTAATAGAAAAATGTTAAACATGTTGATGTATTAAAATTTGTAGTCAATCAAAGGATATGCAAGAACAGCTTGTTCATTTGATAATGCAATTGCAGTTGCACTGTATTCTCATACTAGCAGGTTCAGAACTTTCAAGTCTAACATTGAACCTCGGGCACATTTAACACTACTATTACAGTATGTTAAAGGATCTGCTACAGCAGAAGCACAGAAGGCAAAATCAGCAAAAACTCGAGCTCTAATGCTCTACTTGCAGCGAGACCAAAAGCTTCAAGCAATAGCCAATTAGTTAGTTTATTATTCTCTGAACACTCTTAGGGAGTTTGATTGTGTGTGGAAAACATGCCACTGTATAACATAGTAAGCTTATTGTAATCTTCAGCATTTCCAGAAATAAGAAATACCATTTCGTAAGAAATATCTTCCTAAACTTTAGATGAAGATGCATTTCTTTCCTGATAAAACCTTAATTTATTGTATTGACGTATGAAGTCAATTATATCATTCAGTGAGACTTAAATGATTTTCATACTTCTGGAACATGGTTTTCATACTTCTTAAATGCTCTGAGCAAAGTTTACTAACATCTTAATCCTGTGCAATTGATTTGTGTACAACAACCAAAGCATTTTACCCTTAGATAGAGTCGACTATATGAATCGAATGACATCATTACCTTATGTAAGAAAACCAAAACTTCAATTAGGCCATTTGATCTAAATCTTTTTTCTTTTTTCTTTTTTGTGATTTTGCTTAAAGTCATTCTTGCTCATGTATTGACGTTTAAGTTCGAACTTTGCACTTTCACTTTAAAAAATTAATTAATGGGCCAATATTGGAGCGCCTTTAATATTGTCTGAAGAGATACTTGGACTTGATTGAGTTAAAAGCTGACATGGCGATACACACACAAGGAACTTGATTGAGGTGAACTTTATACGGGAAAATATATTCTCTCTTGTTAAAAAAAACATGACATAATTATATGAAAAGATCACAATAATACAAAGATGAATCAACGGTTATAATTTTATAACTAGCTATTTTAATATTTTCTCTCTCTTTCTTTATTATCATTTGATCCATTTTTGTATGATTATGATTTTTTACATAATCATGTCATGTTTTTTTTTAACACAAGAGGATCTAAATACATTACGTATCTATATAAATTATTTATAATTTTGCTATAGCTGTATATATGTGTTGTTGAAAAACACCCTAAAATTACAATATACATGCTCTAAATATACAATTTGTAAATTTTAAAACTGTAACCCCATTAGCTCCATTATGCAAACAAGATACTATGCAATGCAATAATTCTCTTGAATAATTCCAGTTCAAAATTGGCGTCAAGATTTACAAGCATCAGAAGTCAATTGCTTACATAGTACTGTTAACATAGGCAGTACCATACAGTTATGAACTTTTTCGAAGAGCTAAAGCCAAAAGGTAGGAGAGAGCCGAATCAACAGATGATAATGCAACAATAAGCAGAGCAACAAGAACAAGAGTAAGTATTGCAGTCCTCAGCTGCAAAGGATTAATAAAGACATCTGAAATCATTCAATACATTTTTATAAATTGAAAAAACAATAAAACAAAACACAATACGGATTATGGTGTGTAACTAGAAATAATTAATCGACAAGTCACTAAGTTTGGTCTAATGGTGAGGAGTTTGGATAGGTTATATTAGGTTATGAAGTTATGTGTTTAATTCCCACTTGTATCCAAAAAAATAAATAATTAACTGACGAGACATACCGTATTACTAAAGCTTGGCCACTCTATGTACTTCAGCTGGCTAGGTTGCTCAACCAAAAACACAAATAAAGATTTTAGCCCCCTAGAAAAGAACAGATAGTTATTAGTATATATCATTGTATTTTTCTATAAAATTCAAATAATAAATTCTAGACTTAAATCACTGTAAAAATAATATCAGTTCATGACAAGAACAGTATTTCATTATACTACTGCACTTTGATGACAAAATTGTTGAAGTTTCACAAATACCGTAAGGCATCCTTGATCAATGTTAGCAAAAAGGGCTCCTGATGCAAATCATCATCAAAACTTAGATGATGATCATTTCTTGCAGCAGACCTCACAAATTTGGAACAAGTATGATTTGCATATTTTTGTTTTATCTTCATTCTGCAAATCTGCCAACACAATACATGCAATCTCAAATGATATATTACCACCAGAAACAAATGCACAGACCCCTAAGTGAAGAAGGGAAAAAGGTAAAAATAGAGAAGACAGATAAGAAATAATTACCATTTGCAGTGTTAGAGAAACTTCTCTGTGATAATTAACTCTCACAGGAAACTTTGGTGGCAGAAAAGGAGTACCATGATGAAGGAAACCTACAACATATCAAGAAAACTAAAGTTAAACAGGAAGCAAAAAAAGTAGCATTCCTAGTAGAAACCTCATAGTTAGGAAAAACCTGAATAGTTCGCTGGCAACGCAGAAAGAACCATCATCTGAGATTTAAATGTTTGCTAATCAATCATAACCAATTCAATATGTGGAAACCTGCATAACCTGACTTGGTTATTAAAGGTTTATACAACATCAATTTGTCTCAAAACCAAAAGCCTTTTCTCCTCATGTTTCTCACATTATAGGCAAGAATGTTAACAATTGACAGAAAAGTAGCTATTGTGTGCAAAAAATAAATAAACAGTAGGCATATATCAACCAAATCAGAAAAGAAGAAAATAAAGAAGGCTTTGATGTGTTGAATCCGTTGATAGCTCATGAGATTGATTATCATCATTCAAAGTGCCTCACACCTTCAATTTATTAAGACTTCATATTCATTAAAAAAAGGGGCGAACCGGAGCAGTGGCAAAGTTGTTCTTTCATGACTGAGAGGTCGTGGGTTCGAATCCAGAAAACAGCCTTTTTGCAATTATGCAAGGATAAGGCTGCGTACAAGAATTGCCTCCACCTCACACTAATCGGATTTAACGGGAAGTGATTTATATTCATTAAAACAGAAAGTAGTAAACACTTCATTATACATAAACCTAGTGAGGACATAAACCTCACCTTAGAGGATCTCTCACTCCCCTGCACAGCTCACATGATAATGGAGCAATTCCTCACACAAAACAGTGAGGCGTGGGCTAAAACGGTTAGGCTCCATTTTCTCTCTTAACATCATTAGTGATTCTCCACCTATATAAACCCACCTTCTCCATATAAGAAGACATACGAAAATAACCATATTCATGAGCTATTACTCTATCAAAATCTAGAGTCACCGTGCCCATACACATTCTTCCTTTCTCAGCCTCGCCAGAGACTACACCTACGGTGTCTCTTACGGAGACTTGGTCCATACCACTGCTACTTCGAGCACCTACATGGCGGGATACAAACCAAACTCCAAATTTACAACAGTTCATCCACCAAAGTGTTTTGGGAAATACTTGCAAACTCTAATCATCCGCATCCCAAGCTTCTAGCCTACCATTATTTGAAAGTTTGATTCAATTACAAGTAAAAATAAATTTCTTTTGAGTAAAAAGTTAGATTACAATATGATGCAAGTTGCTGGGAAACTTGTAGCTGCTCCTAAATCATTTCACTGTTTCAAATGATTAAAGGTAAAATCTTTCAGAATTTCCATCTTTCACTAATGCATTTTCTTCACTTGTACAATAAAAATGAAACCTTTCAGTATACTTTCTAAACATAATTAGTGGCACTCTGACCTCCCATTTTGCATACTAATGGTAAAAGATAATCAGTGAATAAAAGACAATTATCATAAGCACACAAAAAACAGAGCTTGTATGCTTTAAAAGGTTCAATCATCATAATTTATGGTTAATCACTAAACCCTAAATCCTAAATGCAACGGAGAGAGAAACGGTGCGAACCTGCCTGTTGCTACTGTTTGGGTGCTGAGGTTCTTCTTCACGAAATGAACCTGTTTATTTTCCTATTTACTATTTTTCCTTTTTAATAAAAAATTAAAATGGGCCTCTATATATATATATATATTTTTTTTTTGTCATCAACTGAAGGTGGGCTTGCATTTTAGTGAAAATCTTTTTTGGAACACATTTCTTAAAATGGGGCCCAAAATTGAAACATATTAAAATAGGGCAATGTATGTTACTATAGTGGATAACTGTTTTATAGGCCCTTTGACAGGAACAATGCAAAAATAAAAATAAAAATATCACTAATTTAATTTATTTTTTTTGACAAATTATTTACCCAAAGGTGAAACACGCATGGCTGCATAGGAAGGATATGTATTTAAGTCGCGTATCACACTATCTATGACTTGTGCAAAAGTTTGAACAATGCAAGACACATTTTTGCAATGAGCGTTTAAGTCACACATGTTCCCATATGCATCTTGTAGAGCGCGATACATGATAGGTGCATTTTGATTTTTCCACAAGTCGCACGTAGAGTGATACGGACTTGAACATATATATTTTCTATATGTGTTTCACCCGCGTTAGATTAGTAGATAGTTTGTAAAAAAAATTAAATCAATAATATATTTGATTTTTTTGCATTGCATTGGTAAATAAAAAACTCAGTTTTATATCTTGGTATATAAATATACTTCAATTCTTTGTTTTTTCTCTCATAATTACAAAATTCAAACAATTATAGATACGTTGCATAACCACTTTATGGAGTATAATACCTGATAATTCAGATGTACATACATCATTGTTATGTTAATTTTAAAATGTCATTTACTCATAAATGTTTAAAAATTACTCTATTATAGTTATACTGTTTGACTCAGACTATATTCGATTCCTTCGTTTTCAGATTAGAAAAAATTCAGATGCAGTTGGGTGAAGTCAAACTGAATGCCACATTGTTTATTTCTTCAAAAATAATTTTTTTTCCAGCTTGACTCCAACCCCGTAAAAGAATGCTTAATTTATGCCCAATGGCAACGTATAGAAAAGCCAGAAAGTGCTAATATGAAGGACATTAATCGTGTGATTTTTTAACAATGACATTAATTAGAGATAATTTTCTAGAAGCCTAGGGATCTGAGTATAAATAATACTTTGAGATCGATGTGGTGTGCTAAAATATTAAAATATGAAGGGTACCTTGTCCAAGCTACCTAGGTTCACTTATGCGCTGGCACTAATTATTTTTCCAAGCTCTGAGCATACTTTATCAACATCTTAATCTTTTGCAATTAATTTGTGTATTATCAAAAATTTGTTATGTTGCTATAACCCGTTCAGCTAGCAATATTATTTTATTTTATATTTCCTCAAAATGTAAGAGACCTGTTGGGTTATGGCATCTAGTTTCCTAATGCTTCATCTCTACGGTTACAGCATTACATATCCCTCATTAAATGAAATCATGATTATTGACTCCCTTGAATATAATGTCTCGGGTTCCAATCGAATTATTCGAATAATCAATGAATAATATAAAAAATAAATAAATAACAGGATTCACCAAGCAATCAAAGGAATAGAACCTTTTTTTTTATGAGATTGAAGTCTGAGTATATTTAATCATATTATTGGTTACACAAATATAATATAAAAATATTAATGTGATTTTTATCTAATAATTTAAATTTATAGGTTGAATTGATATTTAATATTGTACGGTTGGAGTACATAGATGTGTCCCATAGAGGGTGAAGTATGTTAATATAGGGGATATTCATAGTGGCAATGGTAGAGACCAAAACACCTATGAAGCTTCCTATGATGTGCATCAAGGGGGGGTGTGTGTGGCAAGATGGTTCTACCCAGGGGTAGAATAACAACATGGTCGAAGGTGGAGAAGAAGCCCCTCTCTCCATGTATGAGAGGGGTATTTAGAGAGGAGAGTCATCTCTAGCATGGGAAAGACCGTTGGTCAACCTCCATTGAGTTGTCTCATCAAGCTGCCCACTGTCAGTGTACAGGGGCAGCAGTGCAGGATGAGAAATGACCCAATGATGAGCCTCTATGGCTTGCCATGGGTGCCCTCTAGAAAGTTCTAAACTGTGTGGGCTTTGAGAGGTTGAGCTTATCTGACGAGCCTAAGGTAAGTAGTATCCAGAACAAATATCATATGAAAGCCTTTGGGATTAATTTTAAATAATATTTAATTCTCCCTGCCTCATTTTATTATTAAATAATTAAATATAATGGAATTTTTTACTAAATATCTAAACTTGTGGATTATCCACCCTTTAAGTTTCTTGGGATCTTGTAAAAAGTGGCGTACTAAAAAAATTTAAAATTGTTACAAAAAAAATATATAATATTTATTTAATCGCTTAAACTTTTATGTTGAACTACGATTAACAAGTACATTCATACTTGATATGCACGAAAAAAAACAGCATCTTGCAACATTCCATGTCATGCAACCCAATTTCTTGTGGCCTTTCCCATTCTAGAGTAATTATTGGATGACCACAGCACAATACCTTCATGGGGGTTTGGTTCAAGTTATTTAAAAAATTTCCTATGCATCTCACTTTGGTCTTTTGGGATCACCATGTTTGGTTCAAGATATTGAATAATTTTCTTATCTAATGTATTTCCCTAGCTTTTCAAAAATAGGAAGCAAATGAGACAGAGAGCACTATTTAGAAGACCATTTCTAAGATGGTATTTTATACTTAGATGGGTAAATGGAAAGACATATTCTATTGAAAAGACAAAAAAGACACTCACAAATTTTTTAGTATTATTAATCAATTTTCATAAAGTATGATAAAGGGTTATTTTAGTATTTTTAACCGATTTTTCCATCAATATTTTATCCTCAACCAAACATACACTCAGAAAATTTAACTCAATTTCCCCAGTAATATTTTGGCGTACCAAACAACTTTTTTTAAACTTTCCTACCAAACTCACTTTCCAACCATTTCCCTATCAATTACATTTCTCTAGTATTCAAAAAATTTCTCCTCGACCAAACGCTACCTCAAAGTTATACTTGGCAACGGTTAAATTGACTGCTCATGAGATAATGAGAAGTATAACCTATTTAAAAATTTCAATTTATCCCCAATATGTACCTTAATATTATTAGCTGGTCAAGTACTGAAGCAGCTCTCTTAGACAAGATGGGGAAGGTGTTGTTCGATGATTGGGGCGCATACAATCTTAAGTTTTAATACTATTTTGTGTGGCATGTTACCCTTGTCGAACATATCTTATGCTGTGGTGGAGTAATGTGGTTAATAACACATGTGAGCTATGTTTAGACCAGGAGGAGATGGGGTCCTTTTGGGTGGCTCTTAACTATGGATATGACACCGCAGGTTGAGAAAATAGGGATTCAGATACCCTCTCATCAACAAATTGCTTTCAAGTTTTAACTACAGACGATTTGAGCTCAGTTGGTGCCAGAAATTGAGTAGATAGGAGTGAGGACATATGTTTGATCCTTCATAATACTGTATTTGAAAAGAGTTTAAACCTTAATCCCAATACACGTCCTGAATCGACCGATTCGGGTCGCAAAGCAATTAACCGATTGAAATATCTCAAAAAATATAATTTAAATTTTTGAATATAATATAAAAGTGAATTAAACTTAAAATAGTGTTTGGATTTTATTTGATGTGATTCGATTTTAAAATTAATTTTTAAGTTTAGAATATAATATAAAGGAATATGATCCGTTTACAATTTTTTTTTTGTAAATTACACTAAGTACGACCGGTCGTACACTGCATGATTAAAGTATGACCGTCGTACTTAGTGTAGTTTGTAAATAAAAAAGTTTGTAAATATAACCTGCTTCTAATATAAAAAGTGAATTAAATTCATCTTAATTTAAAAAAATAAGTAAATTGACTAAGCTGGGAAAAGACTAAAAAAACTATTCGCTTAAATTACAATGAAAACTGAAACAGTCTACTCGAATAAGTTTTGTACATGTACATAATTAAAATTTTAAGAATTTTAAAATTAATTAATACTTAACATTTTTAACAAATAATTTCATTTATAAATGATATAAATCTTCAGATGTTGTAATTCTAAATATATTTTAGAGAAATGGCATGTAACACAAAGAAGAAGAAGAGAAATGACAAAGAGCACAAGATTTTTAAGATATGACATGTATGAGACAAGACAAGATCATTTTATAATAATTTTGCAGGCTAAAGCACCATTTTAAAGTTTTTGGACAAAAGAATTGCCCGGTTAAAATTGATTGGATAAGTTTTTCCAAAGTAATGCAGTCAAACATGTCACCTATACTGACGGGACTAGTCCCGTCACTGATACTGACGGGACTCATGCCACATCAGCGCCACGTAGGCAGTCCAATTATCGTAAAGCTTCGGAAGGCCATAACTTGTGACTCGGATATCCAAATCAGATGATTTTTTTTTATTTCACATAACTTTTCAAGATCTACGCAATAACACCTCATTTGATATATTTTATCTCCCACAAACATAGTCTTATGAATAAACACTCTTGTGATTGTGATACAATTGTTACAAATTTAAACTATGTTTGTGGGAGATAAAATATGTCAAATGAGGTATCATTGCGTAGATCTCGAAAAGTTATGTGAAATCAAAAAAAATCATCTGATTTAGATACCCGAGTCATAAGTTATGGTCTTCCGAAGATTTACGGTAATTGGATTGTGCTGACGTGGCACGAGTCCCGTCAGTATCAGTGACGGGACTAGTCCCGTCAGCATAGGCGACATGTTTGACTGCATTACTTTGAAAAAATTTATCCAATCAGCTTTAACCGGACAATTCTTTTGTCCAAAAACTTTAAAACGGTGCTTTTCCCTAATTTTGCATGGCTGTATATGTATTTTAAGTTTACACCTAATAACAATATGTATATACTTCTTTAATCGGAACCTAAGATCACTGTTCACTATACACAGACTGGGATTCAACATATAACAGAGTACATGAAGGATCTTGGGGATATGCTACTCCCATTATAATCGGGGTTAGATTCA